CGTCAAAGAATTAATTACCAAATTTGTTTAAATATGTACAAAATTCAAAATAATCTCACGCCTTTATATCTCAAGCCAATAGTTATCCCGAGAAAGATTTCTATTTATACCAGGCATTCTGCACAATCTCCACTCTTCATTAAAACTCCCCGAACAGATTATTTCAAAAGATCCCTTCACTACCAAGGGTCACTCATGTGGAATAACCTCTCTCCTAATGTACGTGTTAGTGTGTCCCTATTGTCCTTTAAGAGGCAATGCAAGCTTCTCAGTATCCAAAACGCCCTCTGACAAACACTTTTTTTCTTTCCTTCTTCTTCTTCTTTCATTTGCAATATTTATTCTTAAACTTTTTTTTTCTTTTTTTTTTTTTTTTTTAAAAATATTTCATATATTGTATTCGTATTTCTTGTTGTAATTTTAGTTACTTTGTATATCGGTTTTATTTGTATGTATACCATATTAATGTGCAATGTTTTACATGTTTTTAATTGTATAGACAGGGCCCCTTGGAAGAGCAATACTCGTTATTGAAAGGGCCACCCTGTATAGAAGACTTGAATAAATAAATAAATAAATGAATAAAATATCTGTATCATATATTCATGTTTTCATTATTTTATTCATATATAACCTTCCCATTGCACAAAGTATACGTTGTTGTTTTCTAGCTAGCCTGTTGAGTTCGCTGTAACGGTATCCACTGCGAAAATGCTGGGAGGTGTTTCACAAAGAGTTAAGTCCTGCGTAAAGTCCTGCGTAAAGCCCAAAGTCCTACGTAAATGGCTAAGTCATGCGTAGATTCTAGGTCATACGTATATTCTGTTTCACAAAGGTTTAGGTCATACGTAACTGCACTAAGTCATGCTTAAAACTACGCATGGTCCAGACCCTGCGTAATTCTGCTTAAGTCATGCGTAAATCTACATGTAAAATGGCTGCCATGGTGGAGGAAGCTGTCGGTAGAGCTCTCCGGCGAGAGAGAGTTTTTAGGGATCGAACCAACCCCTTAGACGCCTATTGCGACACAGAGCTCCGTAAGAGGTATCGGTTCTCTCGCCGGGGATGCATCTACCTCATACATCTCCTCCGTATTGATCTCGAACACCCAACAGGAAGATCGAGGGCCCTCCCTGCTTCATTGCAGATATTTCTAGCGCTAGCATTTTTTGCTTCGGGGGCCCTCTTGACGACTGTTGGGACAATGCATGGGATCAGCATTGCCTCGACTTCAAGGGCCATACGACGGGTCACCAAGGCCCTATTCCGTAGAAGAAATCAAGTGAGTAGACATTTTTTTAACTTAGTTTTTAGAATTATCCAAACAATTCAATGTGTTGCTTTAATTTCAATTTAGACAAGTTCTTTTTAGCAGTCACTGATTTTTATTTTATTTTCATAATTTATAGGGTCTACATTTTGATTTTCAAATTTTAGCAGTTTTTAGGAGCATTAGCATGATTATTAGATAACATATTCTGATTTCTGAAAGTCTATTTGATGATAACAAAAGGTAGATCATAATCTAGAAGTAGAGTTTACTCCATTTTTCCTTAGTTTGCTTGCACTTATTGCAGTTAATTGTCGTATCGTATACTGTGGGTCTACGCTACGCTAGCGGCTAAGGCTAAGCTAGCTAGCCCTGGCTTGATCAGACTAGCCTACGAGAACAAATTTAGCACCTTAGCTAGCTATAATTTACTGTATTTACAGCCTGATAAGACAAGCACAATAATTACAATGTGATACTAAGCTATAATGGGATGACGTATTCATTTAATTTAGCTCTATTTTGTAACTTACGCCGTAGCAACTGTAGTTTCGGTCGCTAAAATTAGAAAACTTGCAAAGTCAGTCCCATGCATGTTAAATTGTGTCATGACTAATGTTATTTATCAACAATTAATTGAACGCAATCCAAATTGCAAAAACAGAGCAATTATAGCTATCGTCACCTCGTATTTGCACTCTTTGGCACTGCCCACTCTTTCTTATATCAGTTCATCAAATTTCCGAAGAGCGAGAGAGATGTCCTCCATATTCAGGAGCAATTCTTCGCGGTTGCAGGTTTCCCAAAGGTGGTAGGGGTAATAGACTGCACGCACGTACATCTACATGGCAGCAAGCTCAAGCCCATAGAACACCTATACGTGAACAGGAAGAACCGCCACAGCATCAACGTCCAGCTGATCTGTGGGCCTGATTTCCTCATCTCAAATGTGGTGGCAAGGTGAACAAAAAAAAAACCAACCATAATAAGGCGATGGGGTAAACAGAGGGGGTATGTTAAACACCTTCTCAGATCTGTCCAAAAAAAAGAGGGAAAGAAAGGGCCAAACTGAGATTAGAAATATTGATAGATAAAGAGTAAGAGAGAGAGAGAGAGAGAGAGATAGATAGAGATTTTTATTCGGAATTCAAGCTGATTAAAATATTGGGGCAATCTGTGCATTATATTTCAATTCAATTCAATTCAGTTTATTTAAGTAGAAGTGGGAGTAAAATATTAATTGCTCATGCTAGTTAATTAGGCCAGTACCCAACTATCAATGAAATGGGAGAATTGATTAATGAATGGATAAGAAGTTCTGTATCTGGATAAACGAAATAGAGCTCTGTAAAGTGTCAAGCAATATTGTCTGTTTAAAAGGTTATTTCGACTAGGGTATGGTATATTAAAAAAATCTATTCACTTCTCATTTGAAAACTATCCGTCCTATTTTGCTCTGGTTTTTGAAAATTAAGGTACTTTATAAAGTACCTTAAATTTAATAATAATAATAGACATGATAATAAATTTATTATCATGCCTATTAAGAGCTCCGATATCCATGGAATAACATCGAAATTGGGGAGGGTGTGCAAGTAAGGGCTACTACCTGTAACAAGGCCAATTACCATAGAAAGGGTAATTTCGGCTCTATAAAAGGGCACTCGATCCTGCCCTCTTGCAAATTAAAAACTGCCTTTGTTTCCTTTGATGTTGTTTATAGTACCTCAAATTTAGATATAAATAACAGGTCAATAAACTATTCTTTTTAGGGGGAAGGGATGGGCTGGTACTGGTTGTGTGTACATGATTTTTATTTATTATTTTTTTTGCAAAGGGGCACGATGTGCCTGTTATAGAAATTAGTTATTTATTTCTTCTTTTTCCTATAGGGATGGGGAGGGGACCGATGATCCTCCTAAATGTCTTATAGAATGATCAACGTTAGGGATTAGTTCCCTAAAAGACTTGAAAGTTTTTTTCTTCCTTGTCCCAAGCACATTCATATATTGCTGTTATTTGCATGGTTATCATTAATATTATATAAAGTGAAATAACATGAACTAATCTTATTTTTTATAACTCGTATTCAATGAAGGTGGCCAGGATCGACCCACGATAGCAGAATACTACAAATGAGCAGACTCGCGAGGAAGTTCGAGCAGAGAGAGTACAAAGGAATTTTGCTGGGAGACTCCGGATACCCCCTTCTTGAGTGGCTAATGACCCCGGTGTTGAATCCCTCAACCGACCAGGAGAAATCCTACAACAAGTATGTACAGATTAAACCACCCAATCGTTATAATATGAAATCGGCCAAAGATGCATGATGATATACGACACAAGCCCAAATAACACTGCCTTAGGGCCTCCAATAATACACTGCATAAATAAAAACAAAAAAAGTGATTCCTTATAAACTGTTGAAAGTGTGTAGGCTTATATATATATATATTCATCTATGTATAGCTTTTTTGATGAAATACCATGGGTAGAAGCTTGTAGACAACCCTCTTCAATTTTTTTTTAGAGAAAAGGGACCAGTGGTTCATGGAGGTATAGTTATCAAACCTCAAAGAAAATAATAAGAAATGTAATCTATCTATTTCTCTTTTGAAAACTACCTGCCTAATTTTTTTAGAGGGTTATTACTTTGCCTACGATTGGGGTGGGTGTGAAATTGAGGGTTACATCTTCTTCTTTTAAATTGATGATGAATTAACTTAATTTAACTTCCATTCTTTCAAAATTTAAACAGAAAAAAGTGTCAACACTAAACCGTCTCTCTCTATCCACCCCATCCTCCCAAAACATGCTGATGCTGCACATATTTTACTATTATTTTCTTGTATACAATTGTCATTTCCTGCAGTGCCCATGTGAAGACGCGGGTAAAAATAGAAATGTTGAATGGCCAGCTCAAGAATAAATTCCGGTGTCTCATCGGCCACGGCTTAGCCATGAAGCCAAAGAGAGCATGCGACGTGATCAACGCGTGTTGCATTCTGTTCAACATTTCTAAGAAGCTGCGAGAACCTGATATGGAGGACGACATCCAAGTCATTGATGAGGCTGATGATGCCTTTCACGGTGCAGAATATAACATTGGGGGTCAAGCTGCTCGATCACATATAATAAATAACTTTTTTGTTTAATTAATTTTGACCATTACATATATACTTTTTTCTCACTCACTCTAGATCTCAGATTTTCAGGGTTTCTCTATATATCCGTGCATTTATCTTCATTCTATCTCTCTCGCATCTTTACTTTGTCAGTCCTCTCTCGACTAGCTCAAGTATACAGTTTCTGTTTATTTACACTATTTGCAATACCGTAAATATAGAGGCCATGAGTTTTTCTCTTAAAATAATATGCAGTTTTCAAGATAATTATTTCAATATGCATATGACCACCTCTGTATTTGAAATCTACCAACACCATGCTAATTAATGTGTTAATGGCATCGTAACTGTGCTCCTGACATTGCAAATGATTTGCTTCATTGCTAAAGCATGTTTTATCGAAAAGCATGTTTCATTCAACCTTTGTTGGCTGAATTGTAAATAAATTGTAAATAAAACTGTAATTTATCTCACTTCACGAGTATCTAGCTGTCCTATTTTCAATATCCACTTGTCTTAAAGCTAGTAGTCTTCATTTACACACCCTTATCGATTTCAATAAAATTCCATGGGTAAGAAGCAACAAATTTCCTTAGACGATGCTATACATTTCTTCAAGAAACTTTAATAAGTTATGCTGATAAATTAGATAAATAGTCATCAATAATTTTGAATAATTTACACTTATATGTACAAAACTAAAAAAAATGAAACAATCCTATCAGATATAATACAATGTAGGAATGTGGTGAAATCTTGTTTCCAAACAAGCTACAATATAAAGCTATTTACAGTTTTTTATAATATTAAATCCAATCCAATTAAAAAAGTTCATTAGATATACTATCTTTTTTCAATATGAATCAATGAAATAATTTAAACCTTAAAATGTTATGCTCTGAACGTCTATATTATTGATATATTAAAATCTATGAGGTTTCCTAACCCATCTTGCACATTTCAGAGCAAATAATTGAAAGAGTTTATAATACATTCAGTCCTTTCAAAACGTATAGGGGAAGAAAAAAAACTTGTCACTGTTCCAATGACACTTTCTATCATACTAATTCCAGATGGCACAGTCACCTACTAATAATGTAAAAATGAGAACATATCATTTCCTTTCGGTGGTGAGGTGGAGGAACGGAAGCAGAAGGCATGAGAGGAGTGCGAGGCCTTGCTGAGAGCTGCTGGTGGATGCCAGCGCGAGTGGAAAGATGTACGGAAGAAATGGCAGGAGTCGAAGACCAAGGAACTTGCATGCATGTCCAAGTCCAAAAATGACAGATAAAACTTTAAATACACCAAAGATGTATTTAGAGGGAATTGAATAATCTAAGATGAGGCCGGTCTTGAACAACGATGACATTGAAACGGTAGTTATATTTTTATGATTCCCTAATAAAGCCTGGTTAGCACTTTTGCACCATCATAATTATATAATAATTTAACAAAAAATAAAAGGATACAAAAGGTTAACCAGGTCTTTAGAAGAACAAAATGCTGGAGAAAATTTACATTGAAGAAAATTATTTAACTATTCCAAATATTCCAAATATATAGTATTCTCCAAATCTCTTTGTTTAATCAGAGAATGGAATAATTTATGGAAACCCAAAATGCGGATGTTTTTAATTTTTGAAAGCAAGAACAAGTGATTTAATAAAGTCAAAACAAAATAAAAAATGGAAAATAGAAAATAATTACTCTTCCTTTTTTTTTAGGAGAGAAATAATGATTTCTAATTGGCTTGAAATTGTCTCCAGCATTTTGTTCTGGTGGGACTGGCAGGGCAAGCACCCAGGATGCTGATGAGGAGGTGGTTCCTGTGGTTCCTGTGGTAGAGTGATTGATGGTAGAGGGGTTGATGGAGGAATAAAAACACTTGGTCCAGCCCTCATCACTCTATCACTGGAACCTGCCTCATCATCAGCATCCTGGATGGCTCCTGCCAGGAGATCTATGTCTATTTCGGGGTCAATTTCTGGAAATTCCTGGCTGTCCTGTAAAGAAAACCAAAAGAAAACAAATGATTACTTGCAAGAATTGTTTATATTGTGGTATCAATAGATTCATCATTTTGTTTTTAAAATATTACCTAAAGTACAAGGCCACTCCACTGAAATGTTGAGCTGATTATATACCGGTAGACAAAACCTAAAAAGCCCAAATCTAACTTGGTTTTGGAAAATGGTGCTCAAACTTATTTTAATAATTTTTTTAATGAGCAAAAAACAAGTTAATGATCGAGCCGGTTCTCCCCCACAATGAATTGCGCAACATTTTTTTGTGATGTAGGGTCCTCACAACAGAGACACAAAAACATTATCAATGATTATGGAATTCATACTGTTTGACCACACAAAGTTAACACCCTAATTATATCACGATATGTAGTGTAATACTCACATCTACGCCGGCCTCATCCTCGGACCCACAGATCCCATCTTTGCACTGGGGGGCCAGCACCTCCAACACCCTTTCAAAAACTACCGTCATATGAGGTGCTGGTCCTCCTCCTGAAAGATATAAGCAACAGTTGTTTTTTTTAAATCAAAACAGTATGACATGTTGTATAGGGTACCTATTTATTTTCCTATAACGTACATTATCCATATACCCAAGTAAATGGGAACGTGAGCAGTTCTTAAAAAGTAATTGTCAAGCCTTGACCAAATGACTTCAAAATTTAATCCGTAATCCTTGTTGGTTATTCATATAATATCAAATTTGATAAGGAAAGCTGAAACCGGCATTCTCCGATTGTCAGCATGTATTAATCTCCACGAGTTTGAATTATCATGAAATATTACTTGAGAATTAAACTCAGTACAAATAGGGCTCTGAATTGTTTATTTGGTCAAAGATAAATGTTATGTTAGGTTAATAGTCCTTTAAAAAAAAATGACTTAATCTCATTTAGTGCCCACACATCCAATCCAATCCAGGAATTTATAAAGCGCCAATATCTAGTTGCCTAATCAAAGGCGCTGATGAGACTGAAAACTGTCTATTGATGATTCTAAATGGGAAAGACAAAAAAAGCAGTGACTAATTGTAAGCAATCTGAATGTCTTTAGTTGAGTCCTGACAGTGGAAAGCTTGTGAAAAGGGCACAGAATTTGGGGAAGACCATTCCACAATCTTGATGCACAGGCAGTAAATGATCGCAAATTAAAATAATACCTGTCATTTTGGACTTCGACCTGCATGCCAGGGCCCTGGTCTTCAGCTCCTGCCATTTTTTACGGACGTCCTTCCATTCACGCTGGCATCCACCAGCGGCTCTCAACAAGGCCTCGCACTGCTCCCATGCCTTCTGCTTCCGTTCCTCCACCTGGACGGTTCAAAATAGATTAATGGACAAAAGAATGATATAATTAACCTATAAAAGAATGACATGTTCTCTATGTACTTAATGCATATGATTTAATCATACACATATATTTTGCATTTAAATGAGAATAATAGAAGTGACATATCAATGGGTTCCATGAATGAGCCTCAAGTACCAATTTTATTTAAAATGGTCCATTTTTACAAATTAACAACAAATCATTAAATACAACTATTAGTTTCCTATAAAGAAATGTATGGAATTTTAAAATTAAGTTTGGAAAAACGCTGATAAAATCCCCAAAGCACCTAAGAGTATTTCATTTGTGTTGATATCTTTAATATGGAATCATCACGGAGTGCCAATTCATATTACATATATTCCTATAAATAGTAAGATAAACAAAATTGTTTTAATTACTCGAACTATACACTGCCTTTTAAGTTAACAAATACTAACCCGTTTCCCACAAAATCCTGCCTTTCCGAACAGGGCCTGTGTATTTTGGCTGACGAATGTCACCATCGCATACTGTTCTTCTGTAGAAAAGTTGGCTTTCCTTTCTCTTTTCTGTAAAGAATAAAAATATCACTTATTAGAAGGCAGATTACATTAAATCATAATTCAGTTGATTTATTAGATTAAATAAAATAATCTAATTTCTTCATCAAATTCATCATTATCCTTATCGTCATCTCTATGGAAGTGTAGGTTGTCGTGTCGGTCTCCTGGTCGAGATCTAGCAGTAGATTGTTGCAGCTAATTCCAGTCTGTACCATGTATGAACAAACAATTTTGAAGGAAAAAAAAATCTTTCCTCCCGCTGTAATGTACGTTGAGAAATAAACTATGCCAATCATCGAAAAAAATATGATGTGGAAATAATCGTAGTAGTGTGTGACTCTTTGAAGCTCGTTAAATTACCAGAGTTCTTACATTGTACTGATCTTTTATAAAACAAGAAGCTCACCTCTCAACAGTAAAAGTCATTTACTATTCAGTTCAGAAAATAATCAACTGCGAAAGTATTGAACAGGTTGAAAAACTTTAAATCAATTTCACTTAAGACAATTAACCCCCTATTCACCATGAAACAACAAAGAAAACCACTGGAATTGAAAGCTCTGTACTGCAGTGTAAACCTTTATACTTATGTTCAATATAAAGCTCTGTCATTCTTTCCAGTAGCCATCCAACTACATGCATCACAAACTTATTTAGGATTGAACTATTATATTTACTGTACATCAGTACGAGAATACACCCGACGGTGGCCTGTACTTATAGCGAAGAAGAAGAAAAGCTTGAAATTGAGCTTCAGTCGACAGCACTCGAGAAACACAAGTACGATAATACGCCAACAGCGGTCTGTACTTAATCGGAAGAAGAAGAAGAAGATATAATAACAAAAATTCTGGCAAATGATTAAAAACTTAAATTTAATATAATTCATTGTAATTGAACAGATCTAGGATCTTCATCTTAATTTACCTTCGGAATAGGAGAAGCCATGTTCCTGTGCTAGCTATCCCTGCTCTCTTCAAGTCTGAAAAAAGAAAAGGAAAGTAGATTTAGATATAGTCTAATACTATTATTGTTTATATATCCTATTATAAAGTCATACTCAGTCATAGTTCATACCCATTATTTTTTCTTCAATTTCGTGGGAGAAGGGGGGGGGGGTGCAAAAGATTCTTAGTACTCTTTCTTAGTCTTAATTACTCTTACAAGTTTTATCGTTAATTATTGTAATGTTATGTAGCCTAGACCTACAAATATTAAATAATAAATAAACATCTACATCTAGATCTACATCTAGACTACATGATCCATGGATCTAGTTATCTACATGAATGTAATAATATTCCCCACGGAGTAGCAAACGCAGACGAGCTCACCATCATACTCATACTTATACTCAGTCACAGTCATAGTCTACTAGTACTACTATAGACAACAGACAGGAAACAGAAAAATATCTAGTAAATAAGTAACTAAGAAAGACATGCGAACATTCATCTAGACAAGTATTATTACCTTTTACTGACTAAGGTCAGGCAGTAATGGTAGTCGTAGTTCGTTTTAATAATATAATCTAAATCATCGTCTCATGTCTGCAACTGCAAGTAATCTAGTGAAACGTATCACGAATTCACATCACGACGATTCACGAATCGAGATACACACACAGATATTCACACGCGGGACCGGGTGCAAAGCTGGGTGATTACGTACCGTTCTTTGACTGCAATATCCTTCGAGATTTCTATGCTATAATTTAACCTAATAGAAAACTAATACTCTGGCTCGAATGGCCTTACATCATGAATTCAAAAACATAACAGATGAAAAGTGATAAGACAGAACTACTAGAGAAAAATATAAATTACTAGCGATAACTTACCCAAAACAGACGACAAGATTTAGAGAGATGAGCGCGGTAAATCTCGGCAGACACTTTTTCTCTGTTGGCATGAATATGCATGAGTATGCAAATGATTCAGGCTCGTCCGTTTAATATTGAAGCAATATGAGTCGCACTTAGCCTAAGTACGACTTAGTGAAACAGACTTTGCTTCTCCGTGAGAGTCACACTTAGGGTAAGTCACACTTAGTGAGATTAACGCTAAGTGCGACTTACTAAGTGCGACTCTTTGTGAAACACCCCCCTGGTGTTAGAGCAGCACAACTTATATATTGGACCACGCGGATAGATACAATTTGCTGTTATTATCACTCGCGTATTCCAGTATACTGTAGTTGAAGCACTGGATTTCTGTCTTCAGCTAAATCAAAATTGTTGACCCTTGAATAATAAACCATCCGATGCTCACAATGGTAAAGCTACCCATATTAAGACTAACATTGGGAATCAATAGCATTGCATCTAAACTTATGTGAGTAACATGTAGATAAAGCACACACTCGGTATACAGTTGGCATACATCATTGCACATGTTTTTTGTTGTTGCCATTTTCAATATAATTGGACAGGAGAAAATCAACCTAAGAAAGGAAAGTTTATTTGTTTGCAGCTATATGAGCTTACGGTGAACAATTTGTACACTATGATGATAAGAATTAAAAAACTGCGTAATAATAAGTGGTGTAGTGCGATTCACATTTGGTTCGCATCTGGGAATCTGGTTTTGGAATCAGCGCCCTCAATTTGCCCCAAAACATCAAGCAACATGATGAATGTCCTTAGAATAAACGTTTTCATGATTTGGCGGCCATTTTGAATTTTCGCCATTTACGAGAAATGCTCAAGGTTTCGCGTCTGGCACTCATCGGATTTGGATTCAGCACCCTCAAATTGACAGGAACACATAAAATAACCTGTTAAATGGCCAACAATTTGCAAAGAATAAGCCTTTTCATGATTTGGCGGCTATTTTGGCGGCCATTTTGAATTTTCACCGTTTACGAGAAATGGTTAAGGTTTCGCGTCTGGCACTCATCGGATTTGGATTCAGCACCCTTAAATTGACAAGAAAACATCAAATAACCTGTTAAATGGCCAAACATTTGTAAAGAATAAGCCTTTTCATGATTTGGCAGCCATTTTGGCGGCCATTTTGAATTTTCGCCGTTTACGAGAAATGCTCAAGGTTTCGCGTCTGGCACTCATCGGATTTGGAATCAGCACCCTCGAATTGACAAGAAACCATCAAAAACATTGTATATATAAAAAGCAAGGTTCGGGTCCTTTCCTATGGGGCCTAGCCTGGACTAAGTTGGATGACTAGAAAACCAAGTTTCAGTGATTCCAATTATTGGGTACTTATCCTGAAAAGTGTCCAAAAACAAGGAAAACCTGTCAAAATTTGCATTCATGCTACGCACATTAAAGTGCAAAAAGGACGTTTCATTGACAGGACAGTTTTCTAAATGTTCAGCAAATTGTTTTTCAGTAAAATATTTTGAGTCGTACACTGTAGTTTCAACCTCGTCATTCAACATATATTAAAAAATGTGTTGCATTATATTCAACTCTGCTACATCATCAGACTGAGTGTGGCTCAATTGAGTAGCATTAACCTGAGGCATCATAACCTTGACTATAATCTGCACGTAGATCTGTAAGTAAAGTAAGTAACTGGATTTAGCAAGGGCAAAAAAAAACATACACACAAAATTATTGATTGAGATGTTAAAAGCCATCCTTTCCGCATGGCCAGGCATCACGTATACAAAAATGTGATGTGTTAACATATTTACAAACCTCCTCAAAATGAGTAAGGAAAAAAAGACTCATTTACAAAGGTTAAGATCTAACAAACAACAAACGTGGGTTGCTTCTGGGGCCCAGAATCTACCTAAGAAAAATATCGATTTTCTCTAGCGTACATAATATATGTAGAGGTCTACAGACTATTTAACATACATTCTTTATGACTCACATCATTCACATGTGAAAGAATCATATTATTCGTTTTACTCACTGGTTAAATATCCAACCAAGTAGAAAAAGAAGTTACCTTTAAATCATATGGCAAAATTTGTATAGGAAAATTTCCCTTTTCATTACAAAACATAACGACTGGCCTGTCCTAATATGAAGACATATATGTTTCCAAAATGATGATATATGCTGCTTGGACAAGACTTCATGTGGTCTGTTGAGGAAATTTATGGGGATTGACCCGACAGCTACACTCTGCCTGCCACAATTTTTAAAAATAAATTTGATGGTACTTTGAGGGTCAAAATCGTATAACTATTGGACCAGTCTTTGACTTTTACCAAGTAGTGAAGAGTCGATGGAACAAACTAGAACCCTATAATAGGCCGAGAGCACAATTAAAAGCCCCAGTGACTAAATTATCCACTAAAATTCCATGAGACAGACAAAATAGGTCTGTCTTTCAAATGTCTTTCTGATAGAACTGCAATACACTAATAGAATTATGATATTCATAAGAAGGTGGAAAAGAATGTAAGAGATGGGGAGTTTCAAGTCTTCCTATTTCCGCACCCAAATTCCAACACCATGTTTGTGTACCTGGGCCCTGTTTCATATGAAAACTGTTATAAGCTACTGAAATCTTGACATTTGATTGGCTGAGAGCAAATTTACCATAGTATCTAAAAATTAACATATGCCAGAAAATCATGAAGTACAACAAACACTTGTAATGTTTATATATAACGCATTTCTAAATATAATGTGTTATTGACTTACTGCACGCTAATTCATCCTCGTAATGATCGCAGTGGTAAAGTCCATCGCAAAGGACAGTCGGTGACACGCTCATGTTAGAGCTTGAACAGGCAAATAAGGCTGGTAGAAGGTAAAAGATGAAGAGAAAAATAACTTATGAGTAGCTCATAATGCTTTAAAATGTTACAATTGAATGCACTATGTTTCTTTAAATACTTTTAGTCATTAGGCGAGTCAGAAATATACCTTCTTTATACTATTATTTCTGGTAAAACTGGACACCTGGATTATCTTTATCAGTCGACAGGTATTGAATAATTCTGGTAAGATACCAGTTTTCACTGCTTCAATACAAAAAGCTTTACATTCCACCGATATTATAAAAGAAAATTCAACACTCACTTGACAGGTCAATGGAAATGATCTCAACGTCCATTCGGAGCCCGGTGTTACCATTTGCTCCTATGACAGTAAACCACATCTCATTGGTATCTACATAGACATCATCAGGCTCGTAGTTTATGTATCCGTGGATAGTTGTGATGACAGACTGTATGTCAGATGGATCGTTACCTGTCCCTATTTGGACTTGAACACCAGTATAGAGATACAAATCTCGGAACACAACTCGAAATCCATTCGTAGCGTTTGTTTTTAGCAAGATTGCATTATAGAATCGTGTTGTGGTGGTGTGTGGTAAGGAGATGAAATGTGATTCGCCTTCCTGGAGATTAGTTGCTGAATTATCTGTAGAGGGTAAAAAAAGACAATAAAGAAATAAATAATAAACAAAAACGCAAGAAAAAAAAAGTCTCCTGTAGACGATTCTCATCAGTTCTTCAACAGGAGATCGGTATATAAGCTTCATCATCTGGCACTGACAGCTAATGTGGGAGCCTCTCCCGAAAACCCTGTATTATCCATACGATGTGACCATCTTTATTTACTTAGAGGGATGGTCATCAGAGTTCCCGAAACAGACTGAGCCTAAAATCAGGTCGGTTTCTACCTATCTACCTCATGCACGAAATTTCGCTAGTAGAAATTATGACTTGACATAATAAACAGGAAAAGCGACAAAAAATGAACAGGTATCGGTTGATATCACACGCCACTTTTACAAATGGGAACATTTTAACATTAAATTATATGAACACAATTTTCATAAGAAAATTCCCTTTTCATACATGTAAAAAGACCGGCCTCTCCTGATATGCAAACATACGAATTCATATAGACAAAATCTGGTGCTTGGACCCGACTTCATGGGGTCTGCTGAGGTGGTTTGTGAGGATTAACCCTGTCAGCTACACTCTGCCTGCCACATTTTTTATCAATGAATTTGATGGTACTTTGAGGGTGAACATCGTATGAGTGAAATGGGTGACTATTCAGGACCAGTCTTTGGCTTCTACAAAGTTCAGAAAAGTCGATGAAACAAAATTGGACCCCCTAAAAGGCCGAGAGTACAAAATCCACAACCCCAGTGACTATTATATCCATGAAAAGTCCATGACATAAGTCTGTCTTTAAAACTGTCTTGTTCGTAAACTAAAATACACTAATGGAATTATGAAATTCATACAAAAGTGGAAAAGAACCTGAGAGAATGTGAGTTTTAAGTCTTCATATTTCGCACCCGTATTCCAACAATACCATGATTATGTACCTGGGCCTTGTTCCATAAAAGTTGTTATCAATAAAAACTTATGACAACTGTTAAAATGTATTGAAATCGTGGCATTTGATTGGCTGAGAGCAAAGAATTGGTTATTAATAACATATGCTACAACATCATAAAGTACAAATAAAATACCTGGAATACTACTAAGAACATCAGTACTAAATATAATTTGTTATTGACTTACTGCATGTTAACTCATCCTCGTAATGATCGCATTGGTAAAGTCCATCGCAGAGGGCAGTCGGTGACACGCTCATGTTAGAGTTTGAACAGACAAATGAGGCTGGTAGTAGATAGAAGATGGAGAGAAAAATAACTTAGGAGTAGCTAAATTGGCTTTAAAATTTGAAAATTGAATACACTAGGTTTTTCTTTGAATACTTTTAGTAATTAGGCGCGTTAGAAATTCACCTTCTTTATATTATAATTTCTGGTAAAAATGGAAACATGGATTATATTCATCAGTCGACAGGCGTGAATAATTCTCTTTTTATAACTAGTGAGACACTAGCTATCACTGCATAAACATATAGCTTGAGATTCTACCGATATTTTAAAAGAAAATTAATTTAAAACTCACTTGATAGGTCAATTGAAATGATCTCAACGTCCATTCGGATCCTGGAGTAACCATTTCCTCCTATGACAGCCAACCACATCTCATTGGTATCTATATAGACATCATCAGGCCCGTAGTTTATGTATCCATCGATAGTTGTGATGCCAGACTGTATGTCAGACGGATCATTATCTGTCCCTATTTGGACTTTAGCACCATTGAGATACAAATCTCGGAACACAACTCGAAATCCATTCGTAGCGTTGGTTTTTAGAATGCGTGCGTTATACAATCGTGTTGTGTAGGCCAATGGGAAGGATATGAAATGCGATTCACCTTCCTCAATATATGTTGCTGAATCTGTAAGGGGAAAAAGACAAGAAAGAAACGAATTATGAAGAAGAAAAAAGAATTGTTATCAGTTCTGCAACATGAGATTGGTGGATAAGCTTCGATCACTTTGCACTGACAGCTTATTTGGGTGCCTCTCCCGATAAAAACCTATATGATCCATACCGTTTGACCTCCTTTATTAAGTTAGAGGAAACATAAACGTATCTTTCAGAGTTCCCATAACAGAACCTTTAGTCATGTTGGTTTCAATTTATCTACATCATGCACGAAATTTTGCTCGTAGAAATAATAAGTGGACATATACAATCGGAAAAGCGACAAAATTTGAACAGGGATCGGTTGATTATCAGACGCCCCTTAAACAGAGAATTTTCCTTTAAATCATATGGATATAATTTGTATAGGAAAAAATCTCTTTTCATTTCAAAATATAAAGACTGGCCTGTCCTCAAATGCAGATATATGACTTCATATTGACAAAATTGACCACGACTTCATGGGTCTCTTGGGTCGGTTGAGGGGGATTAACCACATAGCTATAGTCAGCCTGCCACACATTTAAACAATTAATGTGATGGTACTTTGGGGGTTAAAATCGTATGAGTGAAATGGGTGACTATTCAGGATCAGTCTTTGACTTCTATCAAGTTGAGAAAACTTGAAGTCGATGGAACAAAATTGGACCCCCTAATAGGCCGAGAGCACATAATTCATATGTAACCCCAGTGACTAAAGTATCCAGGAGAACTCCACGAGACAGACAAAACAAGTCTGTTTTCAAAAGGATGACGAAGTTTCACTGTTGAAATTCAAGACACCAATGAATTTTATAATTTCCTAAAACAGTGGAGAAGAATGGTAGAGAATGCGAAAAATGAGCCCTTTTTCCCCGCATCCCTATTTCAACAATACTTTATATTGTTCGTATATATTGGACCTGTTTCATGCAACCTTTATAAAAACGTTAAAGGCTTCTGAAATCGTTGCATTTGATAGGCTGAGAGCAATTTTTTTATCGAATTTTAGAGTTAGTTTATAATAACAAGATTGATGGAACATACCCCTGGTGTAAGTGAAACTAACTAGGGATTTCTTCAAAATTTGCTTTAGATGTATTCTATCTCATGTATTTGGTAGTAGGCAGTGGATCATAAACGCGTCAGAACAATGTGATGTAGTCAAACATAATGTCAGTGTAAAATCTAAGGAGCTTTTCCAATACTTACTACACGATGATTCATCCTCATAATTGTCACAGTCGTAATATCCATCGCAAACCAACGTCACTGACACGTTCATGTTCGATCCCGAACAATGAAAGAAATCTAAGACCATAAAATGAATGATGAATGGCATTATTTACTCACTTCTTATCATTACTTCACTAATTAGTTGTCATGGTAATTTTAAGTTTTTTTTTTTTACACCCTTTCTTTAATTTCAAGCAATCAAGATTCTTTTACAACAATAGCGATATTCTATCAATATAGAGCTACTTGATACATATACCTACTCTCTCACACTGAAACCAACGTACTGTAAATTAATAATATCATATCCATGCACCAAATATTAATCTAGCTCTACGAGTACATTCGGTGTACACCTTGTGCCCATATAATAATAAAAATGTCAAGTTATCAAGCGCACGTATCCATTCTAAAAGACTGTTCAAGGCGCTCTGTACAATACCAAAATATGGTTATAATATCAAAAATTCGAAGTGGTGCTTTAGATTTTCTTAAATATTTATATTGATGATAGGTTGTAGCTGGTTTTTTACCCAGCGTTGTACCTGGAGTTGTTTCCGGTGCTGTACCTGGGGTTGTTCCCGGTGGTGTTTGAGATGTTGTACCGAATGTTGTTCCCTGTTTTGTACTTGATGTTGTTCCAGGAGTTGTAGCTGATGTTGTTCCAGGTGTTGTACCTGGGGTGGTTCTAGGAGTTGTAGCTGATGTTGTTCCAGGTGTAGAAGCTGGCGTTGTACCCGGTGTTGTAGCTGTTGAAGTTCCCGGTGTTGTTTGATGTGTTGTACCGAATGTTGTTCCCGGTTTTGTACCTGGTGTTGTTCCAGGTCTTGTTTAAGGTGGTGTTTGAGATGTTGTACCAAATGTTTTACCCGGTGTTGTAGCTGTTGAAGTTCCCGGTGTTGTTTGAGGTGGTGTTTGAGATGTTGTACCGAATGTTGTTCCCGGTGTTGTATCTGGTGTTGTAGCTGTTGAAGTTCCCGGTGTTGTTTGAGGTGTTGTACCGAATGTTGTTACCGGTTTTGTACCTGGTGTGGTTCCAGGAGTTGTAGCTGATGTTGTTCCAGGTGTAGAAGCGGGCGTTGTACCCTGTGTTATAGCTGTTGAAGTTCCCGGTGTTGTTTGATGTGTTGTACCGAATGTTGTTCCCGGTTTTGTACCTGGTGTTGTTCCAGGTGTTGTAGCTGATGTTGTTTCAGGTGTAGAAGCTGGCGTTGTACCCGGTGCTGTAGCTGTTGAAGTTCCTGGTGTTGTTTGAGGTGGTCTTTGAGGTGTTGAACCGTATGTTGTTCCCAGATTTGTACCTGGTGTTGTTCCAGGTGTTGTAGCTGATGTTGTTCCTGGTGTAGAAGCTGGCGTTGTACCCTGTGTTATAGCTGTTGAAGTTCCCGGTGTTGTTTGATGTGTTGTACCGAATGTTGTTCCCGGTTTTGTACCTGGTGTTGTTCCAGGTGTTGTAGCTGATGTTGTTTCAGGTGTAGAAGCTGGCGTTGTACCCGGTGCTGTAGCTGTTGAAGTTCCTGGTGTTGTTTGAGGTGGTCTTTGAGGTGTTGAACCGTATGTTGTTCCCAGATTTGTACCTGGTGTTGTTCCAGGTGTTGTAGCTGATGTTGTTCCTGGTGTAGAAGCTGGCGTTGTACCCGGTGCTGTAGCTGTTGAAGTTCCTGGTGTTGTTTGAGGTGGTCTTTGAGGTGTTGAACCGAATGTTATTCCCAGATTTGTATCTGATGTTGTTCCAAGTGTTGTAGCTGATGTTGTTCCAGGTGTTGTTTGAGGTGTCGTACCGAATGTTGTTCCCGGTTTTGTACCTGGTGATGTTCCAGGTGTTGTAGCTGATGTTGTTCCAGGTTTAGAAGCTGGCGATGTACCCGGTGCTGTAGCCGATGAAGTTCCCGGTGTTGTTTGAGGTGGTGTTTGAGGTGTTGAACCGAATGTTTTTCCCGGTGTTGTATCTGGTGTTGTTCCAGGTGTTGTAGCTGATGTTGGTCCAGGTGTAGTAGCTGGCGTTGTATCCGGTTTAGAAGCAGGCATTGTACCCGGTGTTGTAGCTGTTGCAGTTCCTGGTGTTGTTTGAGGTGGTGAATTGAAGGATATTCCCGGTGTTGTAACTATTGCCGTTCCTGGTGTTGTTCCTGAGGGAAAAAATCAATGCATTTTATTTGGTAATAATTGAACTAAATGAATTTGTGTAAAATATGAGAAATTACCTATTAAGAAACACAGTTCCTAATACAATTTTTTGTTAAATATCCGTAAACTTTTGTCACTCCATCATACTGCTTTGACTATATGTCTTATATTTTGAAAAATGTTGTGTGCAAAAGTAGTGAGATTATCATACCCCCAATGAAAACCAAACTATATTACATTATTTGGAAACAATTGAATTTCTTGTTAGTGCTTTGCATGTTAGTTTCTAACTTGTTTATGAATGTTACAGTTACAGAAGCTCTCATACATAGTCTGCAGTGTTCTCACCACAACAAATTCAATAGCAGAACATGATAAGTTAAAGATATTTAGAATGCTTCATTTATGCTCTAAACAACTCAATTCAATGTATTTATTAGTACATTGTGCGTTCAACATTAATTTTGTTTCGTTTCCTTACTGTAGATCAAACATATAATCAAAAGAACGTAAACTGCTTTCACAAAATTTACAAGCCTTTTTTGGTAGACAATCTTTAAACTGCTCCCGTTTTATTTCAATAATGAAACATTTAATTGTTCACATCTAATGTATGTGTACTTGGAATACTAAGTCGATAATGGAAAATGAACATCTATATTCTTGACCGGTATACTTTTATTCAATGTTACTTACCCCCAACTGCAATTTGGATGAGGAAAGTCATCCAAAGAATGAGGAGAAGCTTCACGACTGAGTGAGTTTTTCCGAAACACTTCTTCATTTTCATTCCGTTAATGCCACTAAGATTATAGAAACAAATTATGATGTAATACGATGCAAATATATATGTAATATAATAATAATTATCATTGTTATAATCATAAATATAATGATTATTATAATGATAATAATAAGTGGATTTCATAACACATTTTCAGAGGACACACGGCACTGTTCCTAACTCAATCAGCAAAATAACAATAATAAATTGTAGAAGTCGGATTTCAGATGTGTGTTTGTTCACCCATTCCAACTTAGAAATGCAGGGAGTTTATTTTATAAGCGTAGAGCAACGGAAAGAAAGTGTTTGTATTTAGCCTGTTTATATTGGTCATGATCTGCTTAAAAAATTAAAATAAACTCATCAGCATGTAGTGAAATATATTTCATCAGAACAACAGCAGCACATATTAAGCAGCAACTATGCATTTCATATGCACTGTGAAAAGGTTGGGCAATATTTTTTAAACGCTTTGCCCAACGTTGTGCCAATAGTCAACCAACCATCTATTGGGCAATATTTTGCCCAGTGGTATTGGTAAACGTAAGTACCCTACTTCACACGTGCATAATTGATTCGTATTTTGACCAACATTTGGGCAAGGATATGACCCTTCAACTGCCCGACTACGGTAGCCCACTTGTTTGGAATATCTTGACCAACTGTTGGGCAAAATACGAAATTATTGCCCAATAGATGGTTGGGTTAACTATTGGCAAAGTGTTGGAAAATATTGCCCAACCTCAGGGTGGAAGAAGTATCTCGAACGTATAGTGGAGTCCTGTCAATGTGTTGACATAGAACAAGCAAAGACATGTAACGCGTTTCTGGTGCAGCGTGAGAAGTATTTGTTTAAGTTATGTATTTTTGATCACGGGATCGATCAAAGACAAATTGGCAACTTTGTGACGTATCCCCCCAATTTGATAATTGTTCCAACAACTTGATAAACATTCACTTAATTATAAAAAAAGGTTTCAATTATACATGCACCCTACATATAATAATTATACATATGAAAAGAGGAACACATATGATGTACATGTCAACAAAATGTTTAGTACGTAGGATGGAAGAGGACCTCACCATGGAAAGAAGCAAATTAGTGATATTTTTTTTGATCGGATTCTGCTCAAACCTGTTGCGATCTTTTTCTCTCACGTTCTATTTTTAACGAAACCAGTCGAATCAGGGTTCCCCCTTTTTTTAAACCGTTTTTCTCTCACATAATGTGAACATTACAGGCTATAATTCGAGAGGCTCTCCAGTGCTTTACTGAATCGTTGTGTGACACTTTAACGGACAAAAACAAAGATGGGTTTTTAACCTGATTTTTCACACTCAACACTTCAACCTCTCCCCCGCCCCGCCATCCCTGTATATTTATCTATCACGCGATAGTGGGACAATGACCCAGTGCATAATGACTCGCGACCACGGAAACCACGTTTCAGGCCACCGTGGACGAAACGCGATGGACGTGAGGCAACGTGGGGAACCGTATGGGCATACGTGACAGTCCTTGATTGCCGTGGATGCCGGTCCAGATTTTTAAACTGTCAAAAAAATTGCCACAGCAGTCTCGGTGCAATGAGAAACCTAGTAGGCCGTAGCAAAATAGGGTAAACGCAACAAAACATGACAGTACGTAATAGGCCGTAACAAAAGTTGGAGGCGGTCCGTAGTGGGACGGGAACCCTGTGTATTCCCCGGCATCTCACGGTTCTTTCAAGTTTTGTCACGTTCTGCCGCGTTTAGTGCACGTCAATGTTGCTTCACGGCTGCTGTGCGTTTTGTCCCGTTTTGCCACGATTCTCACGGCAAAGAACGGTGTATGGTAGCCGTTTCGTCGCGTTCAATCATGACGTGTCTCGGCGTGTGACGGTAAACAGCCCGGCGCGTCACAGCGCAACAAAACGCAACGTTCTACTACGGTCTGACACGGCGCGCCACGTCTTGGAGGGAGTTAATACAATCTGGGCCCAGCAGGGGAGCTTTATTAGAGTCTGAGTAATCCACGACACATTAAAGCATCTAAAATACAGAGAGTGAAGACCAAGCTTTGAAAAAAGAAGGCCAAGCTATGCCACCGAAGAAGCCAAGACGTACGAAGCCCCCCTCTCCAGTCCTGCACCACTGATGAGAACTTGAGAAACGTGAGGGACCCCATCAAAACGTGACGGGCCGAGAGGGAACGTTCTGGCATCCGTGGTAAAACACGGGCCGAACCGCAGTGCTCCTTGGAGCCTCCGAGACTCAGCATTCCCTCTCCCCACGGCCCGTCACAGATACTGTGGTAGACCGTGAGAAAACTTGGCAAGACCTAACAAAATTTGAATCCAGAGATAAAATTGGCCTAAATCCCACGGCGCACTACGTTTCGGGCAAACGGGGCTGTCGTGGGCACCGGGAACATAGTGTAATCTTCTCAGATTATGTTATTTATAAGGTTTACACAGCTTCTCTATGATTTATGACATCCGCAACCGTCCGTACACAGAGCATATGCACAGAGAGACTTAGGGCGCTCAACCTTCCCTCCCTTGAATATCGCAAAAGCGACATCATACAGGTTTTCAAAATCATCCATGGACTTTAATGCATCCCAGTTGATACCTTCTTCGAACACTCGACTAGCAACACAAGAGGCCACAGTCTGAAGATCTCAAAACAAAGATGCTCAACGAAAATTAGGCAAGATGTATTTAGCCAACGAGTCATCAATGACTGGAACACACTTTCTGAAGAGGTAGTCACTGCTACCTCGGTGAATGCCTTTAGAGTCAGACTGGATCGATCTCGAACACACAAGCGTTTCTGCTCCCCATATGAGTAGAATACCCGACACTGAACTGAGCCAGATAACTTATCAAGATGAAGACACCCAACTAAGAGAAGGAAGAAACACGAAATTTAACTGGAAGCCTGACTGCCGAGACGCAGCATTCTTCCAGAATCTCGGGTAAAGGTAAAAGGTAATGTATATTCTGCGAGGGAGCGTAGCAACAGAGAAAGAAGATGTTCTACCCATTGCATCGAAGAGCACATTAGAACGTAGATATTGTGCTGTAGCCTTAACTCATTATTCACTACATGATACGTGCTTTGTTTTGTTTTCTTCATTTGTTCTGCAATATGCTTGACGGATGCACCTGCTTGGAGTATTTCACATGTCCTACCTCATTTTTAATTGTATAAGCCTTTGGTGAAAGGGGTTAGTAGGAGAATGAAAAGAGTTCCCATCCTCTCTTCTCTAACTTTTTGTTACACTCATATTTGTTTTGCTGCCACCGATAATATTTTGGACGGATGGATGGTATTATTGAAACGTAAATTTCGTTAAAACACTTTATGCCATGACAAAGAAATACTATGGCACCTCGTTTTTTTAATTTTTATATATCTTTCTCTTTGTTACAAATAACAGGGTGCAGACATAGGTGAAACTTTTTTCGATTTTAATGGATGATTGCAGAAACTAATGTTTTGGATAAACAAGCATTTTACCTCGTCGATAATAATATTTATCAAAGCTAATTGGAAGTCACGTGTGGTTTATGGAATCGAGCAAATTTTGTGTACAGGAAGTTACAATAACAGTGCAATAAACCAGACAGTATCAAGCAGTGATAATTGCATTTGTTGTTCAATTTAGATATTTTTAATGTGAGAACTGTGGTATATTACTGAAGGTTCTTGATTCTCATACGAAAGGTTCTGGGTTCGATCCTCGCTCGGTGCTTACATCCTTCGACACGGTGTTTTGCCCAACTTCGTTCCTTTCTAAATACAGTCATTGCATGGCCCTCATGAACCCATTTTTTATACTGATATAGCTACCCTGGATAATTAGGAGCCCAATTATTATTATTCATTTCATTTAACTTTAGATGTATAATATATGAATGTTTCGAATCGGGTCCGTCTAAATCATTAAGCGAACACGTATAACTGACAGACTAAGTACCGCTTGACCAAATCATCTCCTTTGCTGCCGACTTCATTTCTCATTCGCTTTCAATATTGAACAAAGTATATGGGTTAACATCATAAGTTTCTCTCCTCAATCGGTGTGCCTCATTAGAAACCCATTCTTTTCTGCTCAAAACTGATCAGC